AACCATGACTTCAGGTGACTACAGGAAAAAAGGAGTTAAAAAATGAAGTGACCACTGTTTACAAGCACCGACTTTCTGGCCTGGTTAAACAGATTTGTTGCTATTTTTGGTTTGCTCTTAAAAAGGCAATGGACTGATGCCCTGTTGGGTGCCAATCTGTAGGGACAAACTGCTTCCTCAGCTTTGAGCTCAAAATACTCTCCGGCTGAGAAGTTTCGACCCTTGTTGCCAATATGCAGAGCAAGGCCATAGAAGGTCAAAGTCTAGGAAGCCAAGGGACCATCTTCACATCACATGATTCTTGGCCCACACAGATATATGGGTATTTTTGAAATGGCTTAACAGATTTTGGCTAGCTTCACTCTAGCACAATAGGATTAATATGAAATGAAATGATGTTTTGGCCATCTGCAAAGGATGGTCATTTCCCACCAATCAGAGCATGCATCATAATTCCAAGCAGTAAAAGCTCTGATGCTGGAAAGAAAAAAGAAAGCTGATCTGGCATGATAAATCATGCTGCTTTGGCCTGGCTGCCGAGCATACACCACATTTCTCTTTAATGCCGCTCGGTAATTGGACCACTGGTGGATCAGATAAATTCCCCTACAGTTCCCTGGCTCTGACATCTAAGTGTGGCCAGCCCCCTCCCGGGGAACAATGGCAAATCCCAGCATTCTTGTCAGTCTTAGAATTGGAAACTTTTCTTAAAACCACTAGGGTCCCCTCACCTTTCTGGGCAGGTGAGCAGGGGCAAAAGACTGTGTCTGCACAGAGCCCAGCACTGCCTGTTTAGGAAACACTGATGGATCCCAGATGATGTAAAACGAAGGCCCAGACACTACTCTTACACAGACTCCACACAGTGTGAGCTTTCTGAAATTACAGTTTGGGGAAGAAACTAAAACTGCACGTGAACTTCAGAGCCACAGCAGGACACTCAGCAGAGAACAACTTTCACAGAATAAAAGAATTTTGCAACTTTGGTTGAAAAGTAGAAAACAAAACAAGCCAGGCATGGTGACACATACCTGTATGGCTCAGGCAGGAGGACTGAAAATTTGAGCCCAACCTGGGCAATTTAGCAGTCCTTGTTTCAAAATAAAAAATGAAAAAAGGACTGGGGAAGCACCTTGGTGAAAAGGCCCTGGCTTTGAACACCAGCATCACAGGAGAGAAAAGTGAAAAACAAAAAACAGGAGAAAAACCGCAATGAGGAAAGGAAAACATTCAAAGTAACTTCTAGGAGGGATCATAGAATATAATAAAACACCAGCCCGACTGCCCCTTACACATGTACTGCACAGCAAGCATCTCAAAGCTAAACCATCAAGCAAAAAGTGGCTGTGAAGCAGGCCAACATTGTTTTAATGTGGCATGCCTTACCAGATCCTAATTTGCTGAGAAGTCATGCTCCATTTCCATTCTGACATCATATTTCAATTAAAAAATTAATGAGAGTCCCAATTCCCCAACCCATTCTATGAAGGGAATCTACCATGGCCTCTGGTTCACCCTGGGGAGCCAGACAGCTCCAAGGCTGCCTCCACACAACCTAAGTGAGGGAAAGTCAGTACCCTGCATGCCACCCCATGGAGCTCATCCTAATCGGCCTGGCCCCAGGAAGGGAATTTCTTTCATGTCTCTAGTTTTGTTTTTAAATTGTGTGAATTTTAAAATATCCTCCAGAAGATACCTATGTTCAACATCTTAGATTATGACAACTTTGAGGACGCAGCACATCCCTTCTGCTGCCATGAGTGTGCAACAGCACCCGAAAGCCAGCATGCAGAGCTGTCCATGCAGCCTGGCCACACTGCCCTGGCTCCATCTTCACAGAGTCCAAGCCATCTAAACAACAGGTAGATTGGTCACATGCACCTTTCAAGAGGCATTGCAAAAATCAGATGGAATAGTAAGAAACACAAGTGGAAGTGTCTAGCTCAGTCCTGGGCATTCAGTGGGTGGGATAGTCAGCCTCACTGCTGTGACCAAACACTGGAGATAATTAACAGGACGAAGCATCCAACTCATGGTTTCAGAGGGTTTAGTTCTGGTCAGCTGGCTCCCTTGCTTTTGGGCCTGTGGTGAGAGACTATCATGGCAGGAAATGCATGGCAGAACAAAACTGCTCATCTCATGGTGACCAGGAAGAAGAGAGAGGAGGGACCAGGGTCCCAATACCTTCTTCAATGGCATGCTCCCAGTCTCTTAACTTCCTTCCAGTAGGCCCCATCTCCTGAAGGCTCCACCACCAACCAACAGTGCCATCAGCTGGGAACTAAGCTTTCAACACATGAACCTTTGGGGGACATTTAAGATCCAAAGCACATTGCACCAGGTATGGTAGTGCACATCTATAATCCCAGCACTCAGGAGGCAGAGGTAGGAGGATTGCTGCAAGTCTCAGGCCAGCCTGGGATACACGGTGAGCTCAAGACCAGCCTGAACTACATAGCAAGACCCTGTCTCAAAAAAAACCTTAAAAAAAAATCCAAAGCAAAACAATGGATATTCAACAACTGTTAGCTGTCAATGGCATGATGGCACACATCTGTAATCTCAGGAGGCTGAAGCAGAAGGATTTTGAGTTTGAGGCCAGATACCTTGCCTCAAAACAACAACAACAATAACAACAAGGTTAGCCAACCCTGATTTGCCTCCATTTCCCAGCTGGTATACATTCTGCATGAGACAGAGGTAAAAAGGGTAAAGCAGTGTGGTCTGACAGTATCCTTGGAATAACACATAACGTATCAGGTACCAGTGACTGATGCAGTTTGGTACCTCAGCCTGTGTCCAAGCACCAGCCTGCACAATGAACCTCAAGCTGATCTCTCTTCTCAAGTGTTTGATGTAAAGTGGCTCTTGGTCCTCCTGTCCTTTCCAATCCCCATCAGTGCTGCAAATTCCCTGTTGACCCAAGGAAAACTGGCACCTGTTGCAAAGGAACTAGCTGGCTAGGTTTTCATAAAAGCAGCTACACGTACATCTCTAAGAAAATCCTGGAGAAAATACACAATAATAGTACAATCCTCTAGTTGCCATAAGAACAAAATAGCCTGTTAAGTACCAAGAACAGCTAATAGAGAAGAATGAGCTTATCCTTTCTTACTTCTGTTTGGTTTATCTCTAAAATACAGTAGTAACTAAACTGGCAAACTAAATCGAATTTCAGCCAAGCATATTTTCACTCCAAGTTTAAAAGGAAAAGGAGGCCCCTACAGTGAGCCAGATCAGGGATCCAATGACATCTTCAACTGTGGCCCACCTCGTCCATATGGGGTCGGTCAGATTCCTAACCAAAAAAAGGCAAAGACATGGCATACTTGTCCAACTCCATTTTGTAATGCTGCCTTATACGACTGCTGAGTGTTAAATAAGGCCATGCAAATCAGCATCACAAGGCCCTCAGTGCAAAGGCCAGTAAATGGGTTGATAGGACAATTACTACTGCATCAGATCTCCTCTGGACCTCCAAGGACACCTCCTACCTATCCAATTTCACCATCTCTTCTAAACCCTTCTGCCTGCCCCGTCCCACCTCACATGGTCAGAGCCAGGGTCTACACAAAATCAGACACAACCAATTTAATGGTTAGGTCAATGTTTAAAAATCAGGATAGTTCAAATAAAAATCCAAATGTACAGCTCCTTCAGAAAAACCTGAAAACAAACAAGAGGCAACAAGTGCCTGAGGAGAAGGGGCGGCTGCTCTTCGAGATGGGCCTGTGTGTGCCCCGACACACTGCGCCCCTTTTCTCACACCAAATCCACTTCAGTGATTTCCCTTGCCCAGCCTGGCCCTGCTCCTGGGCACACAGCAGCTTCATTTATATCACAATTCAATCTTCTATCCTTCAGTATGCTTCTAAAATGTGTACCTGTCTGGCCTGGAACCATCACTTTTTATACCTTCCTCCTCTTCACATCCAGCACAAAGCTCCTGCAGCTAGCTCTCAGCAGGCAAGGATCTCAAGAGACCTCTTCCTCCTCACTTCCTGAATTACTTCACGTAAAATATGGCAAGTTCACAACTCCTTCCTTAGGTTCGACTCTGTCTCACACACCTGCCTCACAACTGCAAGTTCATGTTTTTGTAAACATAGAAAGAGGTGCACAGTGGACCTTCCAGACTGCTATGAAGAAGAGTTTATCTGTGAATGACACCAGCTTCCTGCTATTACATTTTTTTCTAGTAAAATTGTTCTGAATCTGTACAATGGAATTAAATAAATCACCACAGCAGATGAACAAGTTTTCAAACCCCCATTTTAAGACACTTCATTGATGAGCCATGCATGGCAACTGATAATCACATCCAAAGACGCGGGACACAATGGAAAAAACAGAGGATGTGGCTTCCAGAGTGAGTGCCAGAACCCGCTAGCTAAGTTGGCTGGCCTCTTAAGACCTGATTTCATTTTATTTCTTTTCAATTTTCCCAGTGGCTTTACAGATGTTTTTGAGTATTTTAGCATTTTCAAGTAATATTATGGTCCCAGTTAATCTGAGGCATCATTTTGAAATAAATCATTCTGAGTATTTAAAAAAACATTACAATTAAAGTGAGGATTTAAAAAATAGATGTGTTGAGCTCCTTGTTTGTTAAACTTTTTCAAAGTAGAAATGAGGCCTCTGAAGTACCTTCCAGGGTAGATGGTACCAAGCTGGCTGGAGGAACTCACACAGCAGCACAGCCTTACAGAGCCTGGTATGGCTGCCTTGTTGGGCATCACTAGAGTGCGGCTTCCTCACCATGCCTAAATGCCAGCTAGAAGACAAGCTAGGGGAAGGGGTGCAGATTGTAATCAACTTTACAATGCTTATCCTGGGCTTTATCAATACAGATGGTCTCAAAGAAACCCCACCATATGAAACTCATCTTTTTTGTCCAGAGGACTCTCCAAGCCCAGTGGTGTTGTCTGGCTAGGGGAAGAACAGGTTTCCTGTGTTTTGAATTCTGCATGGAAAGAACTACATATGCAGGAGGCTCATACCAGGTCAATCAGGTCACTGAGGTTCTTCTCGATTTGCTGTGGAGGCAGGCGCCTCATTAGGTCCAAGGCACAGTCCAGCTGTTGATCACTCTGTGGAGGAAGAAAGAAAGGCACGTAAGTCTTTTTGGCCAACACCAAGACTCCTTCTCGAAAGCATTCTTCCAGTTGCTGCTTGCCTGGGGGGTATTCTAAGACCCAAATCACTGGGCAATGAGCCCTCCCCAAGGCCTGCAGGAGCCTCTAGCTTGGGGTGACTCTATCAAGGCTGCCTGTCCCCCTCCAAGGCATCCTCTTTGCACAAGCTCCAGAAAGAAGCAGAAGCAGGTAGGGGAGTTCAGCAAACCCGCTTGGCTCTCTTGGTTCTCAGCACACAGACCCAGTAGCTGCGGCTGTGTCAAGTGCTAGCTGGTGCTACGGGGAGCAGGCTTGTAACAGATAAGGGTTGCCCTTGCTGTCACCTGGACATAAATGTCAGGTAACATCACTAGGCCATGGTCCTTGATGAGCTCTAAACCAGGGGAGAAAGAAAGCAGGCAAAGAATCACTGGCAAGATGCACACCAAGGTTAAAAGTGCTTTGTCCATTCAACTAAATCTTGTACAAAACTATACTGAAACCTGAAGGACACTACAGTCAAGAGCTTGCTCTCCCCAACAAAGTGGACAACTATGACAAATTCAGGGGACTGGAGGATAAAAAGTATTCTCGTTTATTGAGCATCTTTTAAAAGAAATGCATGATGTGCTTCACGACATCCTCTTCACTTAATATTTATGCTAAAACACTTAGAACCACCATGTTCCGGTCATCATAAACATACAAAAAAAAAAAAAAAGTGAAGAAGGAAGAAGGGAGGGAGGAACTGAGTTTGGGCAAGGGTGGTAAAATGCAAAGTAAATATGAGGCATGGTGGGCACAGCACTGAAGGCTAGATGTCAGGAGGAGAGACAAGTCATAAAGCAAGAAAGGGTGTACTTCCAGGTAAAATCAGTCTATCTGCTGTAAGGCAGGTGGAGTCCCAACACTATCAATCAGAGAGGCACTATGTGATTTGAATGTGCAACCTGCTCTGTGCAGACTAACTTCAGGACTTTTGAAAGCCCTAAATCAACAAGCTAAAGAGTCACATAAAGTATACAAAATAATCCTCAAAATGCTACATTTGGTTGGAATATCAGCATTTATACTGCAGGTTTATTAACCAGGAGCAGGCCATGAGTCAACAAGGACTCACTTTATATCCAAAGATGTAACACACACATTGTTAACTGGAAATGAACTTGATTTTCAGATACTGGTATGGCACATACAGCTAGTTTAAAAAAAAGAAATCCCTTGCTTAAAATAGTTATCAGCGACATTTATTCTAGGACACAAAACAAACTGTGTACAAAGAAAAGAAAAGAGAAAACACAACAGAAAAGTAGAGGAAAGAAAGCCCTGTCATTTATTTTGCTTTATGAAGCACTATGGCAACCACAAACTCCTTACTTGTGCCACACTCTGCTCTGCCAACACACATCAGCCAAGGCCACGGTGACATGAGTTTGGCCTGCTGGCATGAGAAGAGATTTCAACACCACATCTAGGGTACAGCACAGATAAGCTGACTGGAATCTAGAGAGACTTATTCAATTCCCAGGTCTGCCATTCATTAACTTATAACCCTCACCAGGTTTTTTTAACCTGCACCAGCCTCTATCCACAAAATGGCATCATTCTATGGATAACTCTCTCACAGAGTGTTATGATGATTTAGATAATACATGTGGAATATATAATATGCAGTAGGGTGTGTTTTATGATTGGGGATCATGTTTAAATACATAGATCCTAAATATTTAAAAATAATTTTAAATATAAATATTTTATGACCCCTCCCATGCACACTAAATCCAACCCCAACCTCTCCTGTTGCTGTAGGCTGGAGCTAAGTGTGTAAAAACGCCACCAATAGCTATGTGCTCTCTGGCTTGTGCAGCAATGAAAACCTTTCAAAATTTAAGCGAAACCTGGTAAAAGCTGTAAACTAGTTTCTCAACTAGGGGTAATTTTCTTAAGCACACATATCTCCACCCAACCCCCACTCGGAGACATCTGGCAATGTACAGAGACATTTTTAGCTGTCACACTGGGGAAGGGGGAAGATGCCAGCATTTCATGCAAATGGGCCAGGGATGCCTCTAGAGACTCAACAATGCAAAGAACAGCCTCCTCACGATAAAGGATCACCCAAATGTTTGACAGAGTCAAGGCTGAAAATCCCTGGCCTAAAAATAACCACTGGGGGGAGGGGTTGCTGGCTCCTAGAATCTGGTCCAGGCCAAGGGTCCCCTCCAGAAAACTGCACATGAGGAGAAACACTGCATATAATTCCAATTCAAATACCACTCATAAGCCCTAAAACCTTTTGATTTCCGCAAAATACCTAGACATCAACAATCTTCTTCTGAATTGAAAAGCAAATTTGTGATATAAGTAAACCTAGCTAATTTGAAACTGTAATCTGGAACATACCGGGATTCAGAGGGCATTAACTAGAAACTGAGCAGTGTGATCCAGGAAAGAAGAGACATAACTTGACCAGAGAAGGTCAACGGGAAGAAACATAGTTTCAACCCTGTGCGGAGCCTCTCTGCACCTCAAGTCCGGCCCCAGTGTGCCACTCCTGTCCTTACATCCTGCTCCCTGGGGTGGGGGCCAGTGCAGCAGGGCTTCCTCCCAGTCAGCCAGACTGCACCTCGCCAGCAGCACCAAGACACTTTCGCAAAACCATCTAACTCATATTCCGACATCCATCCCAATTAACCTTAATTGGAAATGTTTCACAACAAACTGCTAGGGCTAAGGATGTTTAACTATCATTAAATTAGGAAATGACTAAATGCTTCCCATAAGTGAAGCAGCATGGGAAAACTTACTGACAGCTTGTAAAAAGTTAAAATTAGAGTTAACTGGAGCCATTCGCTTGGGAGCCATCCCAAACCCTAAGGGGTCCAAGCAGGAAGCAGTATGAGGAGAGTGAAGAAAACAAGGATGACCCACGGCCACAAGCAACAAGTGACTCTAAGAGCAGGGCGAGTGTGTGAGGGAGGTGTCAACTCAGGGGACTACGTAGGCTAATGCCACTTTTCAAAGGCTCAGAAACAAGCTAAGTGAACTTTCTGTGATTCAGACATAAACATACATGTGTACATCTGTGCATGCATTTTATTCTATCTATGTACTTATCTGCAATGCTGGGGACCAAACCCAGGGCCTCTCGCATGCTAGGCAAGTGTTCTACCACTGAGCTATACACCCACACACCAGCTCAACACATAGCAGAGGGTTTTTTCTTTCCTTCTTATTCTTTAAGCCAAGTGAAGGGATTGATGAATAAATACTCGGATGAATGAGAAATTACAATAGAAACCACCAGGAGAATATAAACTGATATTGTCCAGGTCTTAGATGGAATAGTAAGATTAAGAGTATTCATTATATCATGATGCTTAAAAGATAGGTTAATGTCCTGCCATGTAGTTATCAGATGTCTGGTTTTTAAAGGTACAGGAAAACACAAACAAGTGCAAGTGAGGACAGGACTTAGGATTCAGGAGTCCAGGCTGCGTGTCTTCCCTGTCCTAGACGTCTGTATGATCTGGCTGTCCCCTTAACTTTGTGGCCTGGGATCTGGACAAGCTGATCTTAAAGATTCCTTCTAGATGGACCATGCCCTTTATCTCACCCCAAGCACAGACACCACACTGGGTTCCATCTGTCCTGTCCTTCAATAAAACTCTCAGTTCTGGATTCAGACCTCCTCAGGCCAACAATTAGGTTGCAATCCAACAACAGTGAGTGCCAACCTCAGGCCAGGCCCCGAACTTGGCCCAATGTGTGAAACCTAGTCCTGACCCTCAAGGAACCAACTGTTCATAAAACGGCAGCCACTCAGCTGTGGGATGTGTACAGTGAAGACACAAGATATAGAGGCACAGTTCACAATACAACAATTTGCACTTCTTTCTGTTAATTATTTTCTCAGGACTCCCCCCACTTTTGTGGTTATGCCCTAACCAGTTTTCTATTTATTCTGTAAACTGTCAGCCCCTGACTAAGCCAGCTTCTTCAAAGTGTTAACTGATCCCAGACATCGCCTTCATAGCATGAGCTTTGCTTTACCGGTTCCACCTCCCACTGGCGCTGTTCTCGACTGAAAAATAGCAAAAGAATGACCATTTCATGTCAGCTTCCAGAGTTCTCTGCCCATTCAATTAGTCATTCAATAATTATTTCGTGCTTCCTAGGTAACAAGCACTGTTTTTAATGCTGAGAGGTGAACATGAAGTCCCAGGTTTCACACAGATGTGGTACAGTCAAAATCAAAATGGAAAAGAATCAAGGGTTGAGTCTTTGAGGCTGTGAAAGGACAGCAGGGGTCCCTTTCCCCACTTCAAGCTAGTGGGGCTGAAGGACAGCCTTACTAAGTACATAAACTGAGGTGGGAAAGTTTTTGCTTTTGCTGGTCTTCATAATGCAACTCACCCTGCAACAAAAAAACATGAAAATGGACTAGAACAATTTTTCTGAAAAACAGTTAAGTCAAATAAGACACCAAAGCCTAAAATAGCTTAAGAGTTCACACTATACCGTGTTGTCAAGTCATCTGCATACAGTCAAACCTGGCCTATTAAACCAGTGCCAAGGGGCAAAAAGCCCAAGGTGGAAACCATCGACAGAAAGTCTTCAGGTGGAGATGTGAAGACAGGACATGTTCCAGCCTGTGATAAACTCCACTTTAATACAACAGACACACTATCCTCAACACTAATGAATATTCGTGCAAAGGTACCCACTAAGTAGCACAGAAAACCTCAAAAGATGTCTTAAGAGGGCCACAATAGCTGGGCTGTCATCCTGTGCCCCAGGCAGCCCCCACAGGCTTCTCCAGGCCACTGTGCACCTGCAGCAGCAGCATTTAGGAGGAAGAGATGAGAGCACATCTCCAGCCCCAGAGCCAAGTGCTGAAGGGTGGGTTGTAGGACACTGCAGCTGTACCACTGGATCACGCCCCAACCGCTCAGAGGGCGGCTCACTCTGAGCTC